TATCTCCGCCTGCCCCTGGCTCCGCCCCCAAGCCACGGTGGGCCCCCCTGTGCCCAACCTAGGGAACCATAAGGAGTGCCCGGTCTCCCGCTTGGTTGAGATATCTCCTACAGGGCTCTTTTTGTAGAAAAAGCCCAGCAGGAACTCATAAGCATAATAGGCCACACCCAACAGCAGGAACTCATTAGCATATCCAGCCACACCCATGAGAGCATAGCTCATTAGCACATTAGGCCACACCCCCCATGTTACCAGAAGTGTGCTCATCCAGCCACACCCACCTTTTGCTTCTTATTCTGTTGACCTTGTTTGTTGCCAGGGGTTTTTTTGTAGCAGGAACTCCTTTGCATGTTAGGCCACACACCCCTAATGTAGCCAATCCGAATGAGTCTCTGCTGTTGGGTGTGGCCTATTATGCTAATGAGTTCCTGATGGGCGTGGCCAACTCGAGAGCCAGCCGGAACTCTGTTCCTGTGCATTCCTGCCCCAAAATAGCCCTGCCTATTAAGCACCCCAGGCTCTCGCTACTGTTCTGTGGAGCAGTGGAAGCCACGGGAGAGGGGAGAAAACCGTGCCAGACTAAGACCATGACGCGACTTCCAGCACAGACGTGGAAGTCATATCGTATCAGGGCGACATGGCAGCCACTTTTGGGTTTGCCCCGGACACGACATTGCGGCATCAGCACGACGAGGATTTTTGTTTTTGGATGGCCATCCGAGGAACCCTGGCGGTTGAGACTGGGCTTAGAGCCATTGTGAACAATATATTGGAAGGGCTGTGGCAAAGAAACTGAAGAGGCAGAGTTTCAGAGGCGTTTGTGGGAGGCTCAGCTGGTCTGATACAAAAGACAGTTCCGCGTGTTGAGACATCTGGTCCCAGCTAGGTTGGAAGAAGAAGAAAAAGAAGAAGAGAAGAGTTTGGATTTATACCCCACCCTTCACTACCCAAAGGAGTCTCAGAGCGGCTTACAAACTCCTTTCCCTTCCCCTCCCCACAACAGACACCCTGTGAGGCAGGTGGGGCTGAGAGAGCTCTGACAGAAACTGCTCTTTTTCAAGGACAGCTCTTATCAGAACTACGGCTTGCCCAAAGTCATCCAGCCAGGTGCAAGTGGAGGAGTGGGGAATCAAACCCGGTTCTCCCAGATTAGAGTCCGCGCACTTAACTGCTACACGAAGAAGAAGAAGAAGAAGAAGAAGAAGAGGAAGAGGAAGAAGAAGGAAGAAGAAGAAGAAGAAAGAAGAAGAAGAGGAAGAAGAAGAAGAAGAGCTAGATGTATGCCCTGCCCTTCACTCAGAGCAGCTTCTAATCACCTTCCCTTCCTCTTCCCACAATAGGCACCCTGTGAGGGAGGTGGGGCTGAGAGAGCTCTGAAAGAACGGTGACTGACCCAAGGTCACCCAGGTGGCTGCATGTGGAGGAGTGGGGGAATCAAACCCGGTTCTCCCAGATTACAGTCCGCTGCTCTTAACCACTACGCCAAGCTGGCTATTTCCAGAATCCTTTGGGGGAAGCCATACCAGATAGCACTATTTCAAACACACATGAGAAGAAACTGGATTTATACCCCACTCTTCACTACCCGCAGAAGTCTCAGAGCGGCTTCCAATCTCCTTCCCCTCCCCTCCGCACAACAGACATCCCGTAAGGTGGGTGGGGCTGAGAGAGCTCTGAAAGAACGGTGACTGACCCAAGGTCACCCAGCTGGCGGCGTGTGAAGGAGTGGGGGATCAAACCTCGTTCTCTAGATTAGAGTCGGCCAGTCTTAACCACAACACCAAACTGGCTCTCAAAGCAAACCTGTGTTGGCTATTCCCGAGGCAGGGCCTGTTCTATCAGGTCTCCCTTCCAGACAACAAGAGTTTCGGATAGCTTCCTTGCTGCCAGTTCAGCACACAGCAACGGGGCTTCCCCGGGGGGGGGGGCATCTTTCCACCATTTTCTGTGTCCAGGGGGCCATCCTTCCCACCACACCACTGGGGAGCTTGGGGCAGGTTATTATTGGTAATTGTACGCATCAGTACAATGTTATATCCAGGGGTCATTTCCTGCAGGAGCGCACAGGAGCGGAGCTCCGGCAGTAAAGAGCCCAGGGGGGCGGGCACATGCAACAAGCCCCACCCCCTGCTCCCAGCAGCCCTCAGTCAGAGGAAGAAGCAGCCAGGTAAGCTGCAGAGCCCCCCCCCCGGCCCCCCGGTCCCAAAAGTCCAGTGGTACCTTTAAGACCAGGTTTTATTCAGGTACAAGCTCCCCCCCCCCTGCGAGGACAGATATGCATGTTCCCCCCCCCCAATAGCTAGCAATCCAAAACAGTCCAGTGGAGCCTGAGCGGTGGGTGTTGCCTTCTGACACACGTCCGGTGATGTCAGGGGGTGCGGCATATGGAAATAAGTTATGCTAAGGGGTTATGCTAATGAGCTCCTGCACCTCTTTTTCTACGAAATGACCCCTGGTTATATCAATATATCAATTACCAGTACAAAAACCCAGAGAATCCCTCTGGTGATGGGAGAAATGGCCGTGAAAAGTGGCCACAATTGTGGGTGGGACTGGGAAGGAGCCAGGTTTGCCTGTCTGCACAGTAGTCGCCCCCAGGTTTGCTGCAACTGTTCCATAAAAACCACAGTACATGAACAGACATGGAGCGACCTGATACTGAACCAGACCATCGGTCCATCGAAGTCTGTATTGTCTACTCAGACTGGCAGTAGCTCTCCAAGGTGAAAGCCAGTCTGGTGTAGTGGTTAAGAGCGCGGACTCCAATCTGGGAGAACTGGGTTTGGTTCCCCACGCCTCCACTTGCAGCTGCTGGTGTGACCTTGGGTCAGTCACAGGTTCTCTCAGAGCTGTTCTCACAAGAGCAGTCCTCGAAAGAGCTCCCTCAGCCCCACCTACCTCACAGGGCGTCTGATGTGGGGAAGGGAAGGGAAAGGAGACTGTAAGCCACTCTGAGCCTCCGAGGGAAGGGCAGGGGATAAATCCAACTCTTCTTCAGCTTGGAGCAGTGGTTCTCCGAGGGAACTCTAATCTGGAACTGGGTTTGATTCCCCACTCCTCCACTTGCAGCTGCTGTTGTGACCGCGGCTCAGTCACAAGTTGTCTCAGAGCTGTTCTCTCAAGAGCAGACCTCGAAAGAGCTCTCTCAGCCCCACCTACCTCACAGGGCGTCTGATGTGGGGAAGGGAAGGGAAAGGAGATTGTAAGCCGCTCTGAGACTCCTTTGGCTAGTCAAGGGTGGTGTAGAAATCCAATCTCTTCTTCTTCTATTCTTCTTCTTCAGACAGAGATGAGAGTGGCGCAGGTGGTTAGACCCACCTGCTGGTAACATCTGCGAACAGCTGCTACAGCTGTTCGAATCCACCGAGGCCAGTGAGCTCCTGGCCCTAGTCCTAGCTCCCGCCCACCCAGCGGTTCGAAAGCAATAAATTACATCATGATGCATGTAGATAAATCAGGTACCTGCCTTAGATGGCAGGGAGCACCCTTCCCCATTAAAGGGGGTGGAACATTGGTGACGAGTGAAGAACTTCGATGGCGAGCGGCGAAAAATGGCGATCGAGCACAACATCGGTGAGCTGTGACCAGACGTTGGCAGGCGGAGCCAGGAGACGCAGGGGAGCGTGAGGCGCAGGCGCAGGCAGAGCCACAATGGACGGAGCGGAGCCAAAGGCCGCGCCGATACTAGCCATGCGCCGAATGGACCTACCAGCCGACACCGAGGATCGCAAGAAGGAGAACGGAACAAAAAGCGCCGAGCCAGCAATAGCCAGCAGCCAAACCAGAAGTACAACAACTCCTTCCACAGGGTGCCGGTAGGGTAGTCCCCACCCCGACTGAAACGTGGCCATAGATAGGGTTAATTAAGAAAACTGTAAGCCGCTCAGAGACCGCTGGGGGGGTTCGAGGGGGATAGAAACCGAAAACAATAAATAAATAATAAATAATACCACCAGTGTTCCCTCTAAGCTGAGTTAGTGTGAAACAGCTCACAGTTTTTTAGCCCCTGGCTCACACATTTTTGTCTTCGCTCAGGAAGGAGGGCTCCAGAGCGAGCTAATTTATGCAGTATCCAAATCGCTGGCTCACAACTTTAATGCCAGTGGCTCACAGAGTAGAATTTTGGCTCACAAGACTCCAGAGCTTAGAGGGAGCATTGCCTACCAGCTGATCCTTTTAAGTGGAGATGCCGGCGACTGAACTTGGGACCTTCTGCACGCCAAGCGGATGCTCTACCACTGAGTCACGACCCTTCCCCACAGTAGGTTTTGGAAAGGTTGCAGGAAAGACAGGGAAAAAAGACTAAAGGTACATGGAAGTACCAAAGGTCTGCAGTGCAGTGGGGGGAAATAACCCTTCTGAACAAGGTCCAAGACAGAGCAAATGAACTCTGTGAAAAGACCCCAGTACATTAGGTGAATCTGGTAGGGAACAGCTCCCCCCTCGAAGTTATCGCAGCTTGCAGAATTATATAAAGCAGATTGAGATAGGGAGTTACATAATTCATGTGGAAACCTGAACAGGATTTCCCAAAGCTTAAACTGCAAATCCACCCTTCCCGAAGTAGTACAGTAAAGACAGAAGCTGTGATAGAAAGATCAATTCTTCAAGGAAAATTCCTTTTACTTGCCATTTACTTGCCCACAGTAGCTAAATGCCCGCGCTAGACCCGAGTTCCCCACCCTTGAGACATTGTGGAAGAAAAAAATAGTTAGAAAATGGCCTCCATAGTAACACTACAAGAATTTCCCCATGTCTCTATGGTCTTTACATGGCGTTCGGAGAGCACGCGACATCACTGTAGGGTGACACTCTAGGAATTCCACCCTTGTCTCTATGGTCTTTACCATAGAGACAAGGGTGGGATTCCTAGAGCGTCGCCCTGCAGTGATGTCGCGTCCTCTCCGAACGCCACCCTCCCCAGGCACTGCCCCCAAAATCTCCTCGAGTATGCCAACACAGAGCTGGCAACTCCCCCCCCAGGAAGTTCCGCCACTTACCTATGTACAGGGAAGAATCTTTCCGCCTCACGTGGTCATCGATGTAGGAAACTCCGAGAGGTTGCACAGGGGTAGCACCGATCCCTAGGAGGACCTGCGCTCCAATGAGGAGCAAGTACATCATGTTCGTAGCGGTCCGGTTCCTGCAGATGAGCTCCGGGTCCGGTCCCTCGTCGCTGGTCGACCCGTTGACCACACACACGTCCCTCCCTTCGGCCCCCCACCGAATCTCCCCGGATTCGTATTCGTACTGGTGGGTCAGGAATTCGGGGAGAGCCGAGAGGAGGGCTCCCAGGGCCATCACGATCCCACCACAGCCAATCAGACGCGGCCTGTGTCCCCGGGCACCAAAGTAGCTCACAAACAGGATGAGGGCCAAGTTCCCAATCTCGAAGCTACTGGCAATCACTCCCACGTCAGCACTCTGGAGGTTGAACCTTCGTTCCAGCGTGGTCAGGACGCTTACCTGCGAAGAAAGAGACAGACAGGTGGGTTACTTGCCTGCATCCTAATGCATAACCTTCTCTCCTGATCAGGGGTTGTTTTGTAGAAAAAGAGCTAGGGGGACTCATTAGCATAACTCATTAGCATATGCCACACCCCCTGACATCACCGGAAGTGTGTCATAAGGCCGCCACCCCTGACATCACCGGAAGTGTGTCATAAGGCCACACCCCCTGACATCACCGGAAGTGTGTCATAAGGCCACACACCCCGCCCCCAACGGTCCCGGCCGCCACCGCCGGCCTTGCAGCTCCACTGCCGAGCCCCATGAGGGGCCCGGCGGTGGACGTGCAAGGCCGGCAGGAGTGCAAGGAAGCCCCGCGAAGGAAGGCCCTCCCTGGCCCCAGGCAGGCAGGGGTGGGGAGAGGCAGGGAGGAAGCAACTTACCCTCCCTCTTCTCCTGCCTCCTCCTGGCTGAATGAGGGCCGGAAGCGGGGCGACCGGAATCAGGGGGCGGGGCTTCATCATGTGCGCCACCCCCCGTACCTCACCCGGGGGAACTGCGATCCCCCGCGATCCCCCCCGAAATGACCTTTTGCTCCTGATCATAGAAACCTCTTTGGATCAACCTGTCTTAATTCATGGGAACATGAGTGATTCCTCAATACATTTTCTAGAGCTGGGGTCCCCAACAGGGTTCCCACAGACAACTTTCCAACCCCCCACCGAGTGTTTTTAGAAAGTGGGCAGGGCCTGATGGGGCTTTTGCCTAGCAAGGCTTCTGATTGGCCTTTGGAGATTTGATTGGCAGTGCAGATTTTATAAACATTGCCATGGGAACAGCTAGCACCGTAGCACAAGTATCTTCACTGTGTGGCTGAAGGTAAGCTGTGGCAGCCATCTTGTGACTGGCTCCGCCTTCTGTGGCAGCCATATTGCCCCTGCCCCCAGCACGCTGTGTCAGAATTGCCAAGATGGAAAAAGTTGGGGACCCCTGATCTAGACAGCCCAAACTCTGCAACATTTGGAATCAGGATGATGTATTGGTTAGCGTGCCAGACTAGGAACTGGAAGATCCAGGTTTGAATTCCGGCTCTGCCACAGAAGCCTGCTGGGTGACTTGGGGCAGTCACTTTCTTTGTCTCTCCCTCTCCCTCCCCCCTTCTGTCTAACCTACCTCACAGGGCTGTTGTGAGGATAAATGAAGGCAAAGTGAACAATGTTGTCAACCAGAAGAAAAGTGGAGTGTAGATAGATAGACAGACAGACAGACAAACAGATAGATGGATGATAGCTAGATATCCAAAGAATTAAACAGAAATTAATACTCTACAAGCAAGCAGGTCTCCTTTAAAACCTGAACAATAAAGACTTCAACAGAAGAGACAGCTGCCAAGATGAAAATTAAAATAGCTAAGGGCTGGGGGGGTTATCAGAACCTTGGCTGATGTGATTCCATAAATGCAAGAGATACAAAACAGTTAGACTCTAAAAGGTCCTGACAACCTCTGTCTTCAATAGCGCTGGGGATACATAAAAACGCTGACGGGACAGAAAAAGGTCACCGGACCGTGGAAAGAATAAAAGATCTGCAGATCCCCTGTACATCACTAGCAGGGAAAACACTGAAGAAACATGACAGTCCAAAATACATAAAAATAATAACTGCTTTTATTAGCAGCACTTTAGAGTATGTTTATGGGAAAGTATGGGAAAGATTGAAGGTCAAAGAAGACGGGGACGGCAAAGGATGAGATGGTTAGACAGTGTCAGAGATGCAACGAACATGAAACTGAGCAAACTTCAGAGGACAGCGGAAGACAGGAGGGCCTGGCGGGATCTAGTCCATGGGGTCGCGAAGAGTCGGACTCGACTGTGCGACTGAACAACAACAACAAAAGAGTATGTTACAACTGCAGTGGCATCCATTGAAGCACGTGCCGATTTCACAGAGCAGAAACGCCCCCCAACACACATTTCTTGTTGCAGTTGCAGCCCCCTGAAGTCTTGTTCCCAGGGCAAACCAGAGGAATTGTGTGGCTGGATACACAGCACTAGCTCAGTTATCTTGCTATACCCACATCGCTGAGGTTAAGAGACAGTGACTGAGGCATAATTTGAACCAGGGACTCTGTGGTTCAGGGTCTGAGGCCAAAACCAAGGGGAGAAGGAGAGATGCATGACTGGCTCTTAAGGCCCAGTTTTAGCCATGCCAGCGTTATGGAGGGCAGAGTGAGAGAGAGAGTTTAACCCTTTCAGCTCCTCATAGTTCCACTCATCAAACTCTAGACCCGCGAGCGGGGTTCATACGTTTCAGTGGCTGTGCATACGACGGTTTGTAAGAACGAGTCAATGTGCGTTCACTTTACAAAGGAAACTGTTCACTTTACAAAGGATAAATGTGGGATTTATGTCATCTGTTCAGATGTACATGCATTGAGTGTGATGTGAGAATTACTCAATGTGCATAAAAAAACCTTCAAGTGTACACAGATCACATGTACATTCACTGTAACATGAACTAGGTAAAGGTAAAGGTTTCCCTTGCTCGAAAGCCAGTCGAATCCGATTCTAGGGGGTGGTGCTCATCTCCGTTTCCAAGCCGAAGAGCCAGTGCTGTCCGAAGACATTTCCGTGGTCATGTGGCCGGCACGACTAAATGCCAAGGCGCTCCAAACGCTGCTACCTTCCCACCAAAGCGGTACCTATTTATCTACTTGCAATTCCTGCTAGGCTGGCAGGAGCTGGGGCCAGAGGCGGGAGCTCACTTCGTCCCGCGTCACTCGGGTCTCGAACTGCCGAACTACAGACCTTCGAGTCTGCAGTTCAGCGCCTTAACCTCTGAGGCGCAGGCGCAGGCAGAGCCACGATGGACGGAGCCAAAGGCCGCGCTGATACAGCCACGTAACATGAACTGGGCTACTGTTATTAGCCCTTTAAATTAATCTCTTTTTTTCCTTTAAGGGCTAATGACCATGCACGGGGTGCTTTCATTGAGTAAAGCTGCCAACTCCAGGTTGGCAAATTCCTGGAGACATGGGGGTGAGGCCTGAGGAGGAAGGGGTACGGGAAACTACCTCAGCCGACCATGCCAAACTGTCCACCCCACAAAGCTGCCATTTTCTCCAGGGAAACCGATCTCTGCAGTCTGTGATCTGTTGGAATTCTGGGAGCTCTCTAAGAGCCATCTGAAGGTTGGCAAACATAGCAATGGAAGGACAGACCCATCTATCTCCCTCCCCTCATTACCCTGATCCAAATTGAAGCTGTGCACCTGGAAATTTAATGGACACAGGGAGGTCTTTCATCTCCATCTTGCCTAAGTCTGTCCCGAATCCTCTACACTACACTTGTTCTAGGTCTGGTCTGAAGCAAAACATTACATCTTCGATCTGGTGCTTATTCCTGAGGTCCAGTCTTCCCTCTAAGCCGGGTTAGTGTGAACTAGCTCGCAGTTTTTTAGCCTCCGGCTCACACATTTTCGTCTTAGCTCGGGGAAAATGGCTCCAGAGCGAACTAATTCATGTAGTAGCTAAATTGCTCGCTCACAGCTTTATTGCCAGTAGTTCACAAAGTAGAATTTTTGCTCACAGGACTCCACAGCTTAGAGGGAGCATTGAGAGTGGAGTTTCAAACAGGAACTCTGTGCAGGAACCGAATTTACTTCAAGGTGCTGGTTCTTACCTTTAAAACCCTTTATGGTCAGGGACCTGCATACTTGAGGGACTGCCTTTCCCCACATGTTCCCCAGAGAGCACTGCGTTCAGGGTCCCAAAACCGGCTGGCCCTCCTGGGCCCTAAAGACGCCAGGCTGGCTGTAACAAGGGCCAGGGCATTCTCGGTGGTGGCTCCATACTGGTGGAATGAGCTCCCAGAAGAGCCCTGCGGGACCTCTTACAGTTCTGCAGGGCCTGCAAGACGGAACTCTTCCACCAGGCCCTGCGGGACCTCTTACAGTTCTGCAGGGCCTGCAAGACGGAGCTCTTCCACCAGGCTTTCAATTCAGGAGCTGCAGCAAATACCTGGAAAGTGAGCCCTGTGCCCTGGTCTTACCATCAACAGCCTGTGCCTGCCACACAAATAAAGAGGCCAAGATGAGCTGGCCACTGAGTTAGATCACTTGAATATACCATCACGACTGTTACCACCAACTTAAGCAAAGCTATCAGTATTAGATTTACAATATTAGCACTTTATGATACTTGGACTGTTTTATGACTGTTTTAAGATTGGTTTTCATTGTTATTTGTTCTTGGGGTCATTAGGAGAAACTGTGTCTTGGGGGAACCCTTTCTTACTTTGCTGGGCACGGGAAAGTCAAGGAACCCTTGGGAGCAGAGGTGACCCCAAGATCAGACCTCCCTGTGCATTAGTGTTCGTTACAGAAGATTCAGGCAGTTTCCCAAAACATAGTTTCTCGTAATGACCCTGTTAAGTCGCTCGCTTAACAAAGAAGTCGGAGAGTGATTCAGCAAGAACACAGCTTTATTCTTCAACCCGAACACAACTCCAACACGGATCAACATCAGATAGCCAGAACAGAACAGTTCAGCTCGGTTCAGGTTTTACACTGCAGTTCCCCTGCTTTTAAACTCTCCCGGCTAATGAATACCAACCAATACGGTTGTTCAGATAAGGACCAATCACGGACGTTCCCGCTCAGGGAGCCTGCTGTAAAGTGATGGGCTAGGTGCTTCCTGGGCTAGCAATACGATTGGATGGATTTGGATCCTAGCCCAGGACGAAGCTTAACATAGCTTTTCAATCAGATGTTTCACAACACATAATGCATTCAACGGCAGCTTATGAATACATTACAGACCCCAAGAACAAATAGCGGATACCAATATGTGTTCACCTTTTGCAGGAGACCCAAGCCTCCCCCCCAGTCTTGTAGCCCAGCACTTTATCACAGGAATGGCTTTCAACCTGCCTCCCCCCTCAATCTGTCTCTTCCTTGACCTGTCCAGATATGATTCCTGGCAGCTAAAGAATGCTACACTTCTTTCTTTACCAGAAATT